GTGCAAAATTCAGATTGCAAAGATGCTTGAACTGCCCATTATCTACAGGAGAGTTTATGACCAGTCTTTCTGTAGAGTTCAGCCTTATAAAAAGAGGAAGCCCAAAGTAAGTTACAGCTTAACACTGCTGAATATGTGGCCACAGCAGTAATGTCAAGTGACAGGAGCCCAGATGCTGGGGTTGGCTTGGGTTCAAATCCTAAACTGTCTCTTTACTCATTGGGGGTTTAGGGACAGGTTTTTTAACCCTCTGTATGCCTTGATTTCCTCATTAGTAAAATAAAAGTAACAACAGTATAAACATGAGAGGGTTGATGTGAGGAAAACATGTCACCGGACTCTCAGAGGGAGAGGAGTAGAGATCATAGAAAAAGTGCCTGAAGAAACGTATAAAGGCACAGGTCTAAAAAGCTCAAAGAACCCAAAGACAAGAAATGTGAAAAAAACTGCATCAAGTCACATCATAATTAAAAAGAAAAATGTGCCAAAAATAAATGAGTGGTTCTCAGACAGGGATGATTCTTCCCCACCCACACCCCCACCCCACAGGAGACATTTAACAATGTCTGGAGATGGTTCTGCTTGTCATAGCTGGGGGAGGGTGTAGGTTGTGCTACTGGCATCTACTGAGTAGAGATCAGGAATGTTGCTAAATATCCTAAAGTGAACTGGACAGCCCTCACAATAATGAATTATCCTGCCCAAAATATCAACAGTGCTAAGAGTGAGAAATCCTAAAGGCATGTTATAATCAGATGTTTAAAACCAGTGGTAAAACCAGGCAAGAGAAAAAAATAAAAGGCTTCCAAATAGGAAAATAAGCCACACTGTCTCTCACTTCGCTGACAATATGATTCTATACCTAGAAAATGCAAAATACTCTGCCAAAAGGCTTCTAGACCTGAAAAATGACTTTAGTAAAGTTTCAGGATACAAAATCAATATACAAAAATCAGTATTATTTTTATACACCAATAACTTTCAAGCTGATAGCCAAATCAAAAACTCAATGCCATTTACAATAGACACACACACAGGCACACACCCTAGGAATATACCTGACCAAGGAGGTGAAAGATCTCTACAAGGAGAACTGCAAAACACTGCTGAAAGAAATAAAAAATGACACAAATGAAAAAACATGCCATACTCACGGACTGGCAGAATTAATATTGTTAAAATGACCACACTGCCCAAAGGAATCTACAGATTCAATGCTATTCCTAATAAATTACCAATGTCATTTTTCACAAAATTAGAAAAAGACTATTCTAAAGTTCACACGGAATCAAAGAAGAGCCTGAATAGCCAAAGCAATCCCAAGCAAAAAGAAGAAACCCAGAGGTATCACATTACAAACTATATATAAGGCTACCATAATCAAAGCAGCATGGTCCTCGTATAAAAACAGACACATAGACCAATGGAACAGGATAGAGAATCCAGAAATAAAGCTGTCCACCTACAACCACCTGATCTTCAAATAGCTGACAAAAATAAGCAATGGAGAAAGGACTCCCTATTTAATAATGGTACTGGGATAACTGGCTAGCCATATGCAGAAGAATGAAACTGGACCCCTAGCTTGAACCATATATAAAAATTAATTCAAGATGGATTAAAGATTGAAATGTATGACCTCAAACTAAAAAATCCTAGAAGAAAATTTAGGAATACCATTCTGGACATCAACTTTATGAAAAAATTTATGAGTTATTCCCCAAAAGCAATTTCAACAAAAGTAAAAATTGACAAGTGAGATCTAATTAAACTAAAGCTCTGCATAGCAAAAGAAGTCAGCAAAGTAAACAAACTACAATAAGATGTCATCTCATACCATTTGGAATGGCTGCTATTATTTTATTTATTTATTCATTCATTCACTTATTTTTGAGATAGAGTCTTGCACTGTCTCTCAGGCTGGAGTACAACTGCATTATCTCAGCTCACTGCAACTCCACCTCCCAGGTTCAAGCAATTCTCCTGCCTCAGCCTCCTGAGTAGCTGGAATTACAGGCATGTGCCACCATGCCCAGCTAATTTTTGTGTGTGTTTTTTTTAGTAGGGACAGGGTTTCACCATGTTGGCCAGGCTGGTCTCGAACTCCTGACCTCAAGTGATCCACCCGCCTCTGCCTCCCAAAGTGCTGGGATTATAGGTGTGAGCTACCGTGCTCAGCCCAGAATGGCTATTATTAAAAAGATAAAAGGTAAGAGATGCTCAAGAGGCTGCAGAGAAAAGGGAATGCTTATACACTGTTGGTGGGAATGTAAATTAGCTCAGCCACTGTGGAAACCAGTTTGGCAATTTCTCAAAAAACTAAAAAAAGAACTATCATTCAACCCAGCAATCCCATTACTAGATATATACCCAAAGGAAAATAAATTGTTTTACCAAAAAGACACATGCACTTGTAGGTTCATCACAGAGCTATTCATAAAATATAAAAATATGGAATCAATCTAGGTGCCCATCAGTGGCAGCCTGGTACACAACACTATGAAATACTACACAACAATAAACAAGAATGAAATCATGTTCTTTGCAGCAACAAGGATGTAGCCGGAGGCCATCTTCCTAAGTGAATTAACACAGGAACAGAAAACCAAATACCGCACACTGTCACTTGTAAGTGGGAGCTAAACACTGGGTACATCTGGACATAAAGATGGGAACAACTGACACTGGGGACTACTAGAGAAGGTAGAGAGGGAGGGGGACAAGGGCTGAAAACCTACCTATTGGGTACTATGCTCACTATCTGGGAGATGAGATCATTAATACCCAAACCTTAGCATCATCCAATATGATGTAACAAATTTGCACATGTACCCACTGAATTTAAAATAAAAGTTGAAATTATAAAAACAAAAAACAAGCAAACAAAAACAAAAACAAAACCCAGTGATAAAGACAGTCTTAAAATCATACCCTGATTCTATTTTCTTCATTCATGACAAATAAAGAAAGTAACTTAAACAGTAAGCACTTTATTGTAAATCACTCACCATATTCAAACTAGGAGTTGAGCACCATGAAGTAAATATGCTGGGAAAGGCAGAGCTATTTGGAGGGGTTTCTAGAACCCAAGGGTCAGTGTGACTTTTTAAAAACACGATTTTAAGTGGTTAAGGGAGCTACACGTTGTACAAGATACTCTGAAGGTTCTATTCTGTGGTCCTTCCATCACTTAGAAAGATATGAAGGTAACAGACTTAGCAGTGGATACAAATTCAAAGCTTATTTCAGCTCAACAAAGATTTACTAGAACTACTTACAAGTATACATTAGATATCAATGCGGGTCTCTTCAGTTAATGCAGTAGCCTTTCTGTTATATCATGTCTATTTGCTGTATAATAAATTCTGTCCAAAGTTACAAAAATATTTTTAAAATTCCCACCAATTTGGGCCATTTAAAAATATGATAATGTTTACGGATCCTTAAAAACCAGACCTGAAGTAACATGTTGTGACAGAATAAAAAAATAAAAACCAACACAGATTTCCACTAAATACTAGGCACTCAACTATTAATACCTACTTTATATTCATGATGTCATCATTCTCAAATATATCATTTGGGTTTGATATTATTGCCCTCTTCATTTTACAGATGAAACAGAAGAACAGATGAACTGTTTTGCCCCAAATCACAAGCTAAAAACAGTGCCAGGATCTGAACGAGAGAGGTTTTTAAAAGCACATTATGATCTTTAGTTGTATGTTGCTGGAGTTATCTTGGATTTTTGTAACAAATCAGTATGTGTTTTCAATACTAGAGCACTGCTCCACCATGTGAATTTATTAAGATACTTTGGTGTCCCAAAGTCAGCTGCAGTAATCTTGATTTCCCTGTCAATCCTTGCACAGAGAAGTAAGAATGAAAGTGATCACAGGCATGGCAGAACATGTATATGCGACTTATTAAAAACTATCTTGTAGTTTTATGTTTACAGATGGCTGGCTTGGAGAAGGTGAAAAGAGATGGTTATTTTTGTTTGATATGTCCCAGACCAAAAAAAATATTGAAAATCAATTCTTTCAAACATACAAATCTGAACTCTGGTTCACTTTAGGTAGATTTCAATAGACTATACATGGAGAGCTATGAACATAACATTTTGTTTAGGTTTTCTGATTGGTTAAAAAAAAGTCACACCAAAAAGAAATTAAAAAATCACTTTGTTGATTAATGCTAATCAACAAAGCTATTGATAGTTTTTAAAAAAATCAGAAATTCCTCAGTGCTCTAAGTGAGTCAAAATTGAGTTTTGTGTCTTCAGAAGTATTCCTCCAAGGTTAAAAAATGAATATTCAACTCAATTAGGTCAACCAAGTCAATTTTCTTCTTTAGTGGAGGAAATGATAGATCAAAATGTGTTTTATTGGAGAACTAGTAAGTTAATGAAGGATACAGTAGTAGGCAATATATGACCCACTGTGATAGAATACAGAGTTACAGACAGTTAAACGTAGATGTCACTTATTTTTTTTGCTGCTGTTGTTTTTGAAACAGGGTCTCACTGTTGCCCAGGCTGGAGTGTGGTGGCATGGTCTCAGCTCACTGCAACCTTCGCCTCCCAGGCTCAGGCCATCCCTCCACCTCATCCTCCCACATCATCCTCCTAAGTAGGTAGGACTACAGCGGTGCTTTTGCAGAGATGGAGTTTCACCACATTGCCCAGGCTGCTCTTAAACTCCTGGGTTCAAGTGATCTGCCCACCTTGGCCTCCCAAAGTTCTGGAATTACAAGTGTGAGCCACTGTGCCTGGCCTTTCTGTTTTTAACTTTTGTTTGATACTTTTTCTTTTTTTATGCCTCTCTCAGGTGGTTCTATACACAAGTTATAGTAAATTCAAAACAAATGAAATTTCACATAACTTATAATTCATAATTCATTAACTCTACCAATGTGCCTTATTTTATAAATATATAAACAATTATGTTTATAGTCCTGTATCTGCTCTACAAATGGAAAAACAAAACATTTATACTTACTGGAAAGAACGGTTGTAAGGAAAATGTAGTCTGAAAAGGATATGAGCCCACATTCTCCAAGGGTGTAAAATATACTGCCTTCATCAGCAAATTTTTCTCGTTCCTGGGAAATTTTCTATAAAATGTATCGGTTCCACCAAAAGACAAAAATATATAAGTGAATTAGAATATAAATAGTAAGAGGTGAATCACCATTTATTTGAAGTTTTATGCTATTTATCATAAGCGTTTCTCTGATGGCCATTCAAAAATCAATGGATCCTTTGCAGTTTTCAAGATGATGAAAATTTCAAGACAAAAATTATTTTTTCATTTTAACACTGGCTCAACATGAACACTAGAAAATGATTTCTATGTTAGAACCCTCTACCACTGAGCATTGTATATGTTCATATACAGGCCCACCTCAGAACAGGTTTTGTTTCTGTTTGAAAAACCTTCTTCTACAGTGGTATAAATAGTAGTAAACAAGCAAACAAACACATGAAAAAACTAAAAGGAAATCAGTTTTGTCCAAGAGAAACTATACTGATAGTGATTAGAAAGAAGTGAACAACTATTTCCAAGGTCCATACAAATGCTCAGAAAACCAATTTCTGAAATACTAATTTTAATTTTACTTTGTAACCCCAAGAATCTTAGTTTCAAATATCAAACAGTATGCAGAGTGAACAGCATCTCTGAAATATAATGACAAATCAGACGTGCACACTTTTGGCACAATTTAATCATATTTACTGTTACCTTAACTGAGGCTCCTAAATTTCAGCTATTTGATGAAACTGTCTCCTAAAACTTAGTTTTTACTCTAAATACATAGGTTTTTTTTTTTTCTTTAGTCTATAAATCTCACAAAGAAAGTTAGTTCTCAGCTTTAGTAATTGTCTGCCTGGCAAGTGGTCTCTTCCTGGGTGTTTAAATAAGCTTGCCCTGTTTTCTGAATTCTTAGCCAAAGCATAAACTTAGTGGTGACATTGAATATATTTTCAAAAACTGAAAAGGATCCACCAACAGTTAGACTTGAAACTAATTTCCACAAGTTCTGGACCACCAAAAATATTTAAGGAATTATTCTAAGTATAAAATAACAGATTTTAAAAACCCAAACCAATAAAGCACAATCAAAGTAATAATGTCATGCAAGCATAAAGTAAGACGCAGCATTGCAAGCATAACTTCAAGAGGAGTATCATGAAAACGAAACCAACAAGCACCATCTCAACAGCATCCAGTTACATAACTATCCAATGGGTTACCTCTGTCTAGTGGAGATCCCATCATCAACCACAAAGGAAAGAAAACTGGTTAACCAACTGGAAATACAGGTAGTACCAACGAATCATCATGAAGTTGGTTTGCATGATCTTCTTAATAAACTCATTCAAAATAGCCTCTACTAGATATTTACTTATTCATGAGAACAGCAACTATGGACAGGTTAAAGTCCATAAGTGAATACGAATAACACAGTACTAGGTTTTGATGGTGCTTCTACTTAGGAGAACTTCGCTGACTTCTTTCGTGGCTGACAGAAGGCACAGTACTGTTTGATAGCATTTAGAGATTACTTCTTTGAGTTGACAACAAAAATTAGCATAGTCCAGTATGTTCTTACTAAGGTTAGATCTCATACCACACTTGATCTTTCTAACAAGAGACTGAACAGCAATTTCAGACAAAAAAAGCTACTGGACGAGAACTAGAATAGCAAATCTTTCCACCAGGGAGTTAATATTTAAATTTCTCAAAATAGAAGAAAAAAAAAGTTGCATTTTTCACATTACCCAAGATGCTGCAAAAGTAAGGTATGTGAACAGAAAAAAATATACAAAATGAGAATAGGTGTCCAAAAGCTATTACCAGCCATAACAATAAATGTGTATAGAAGCTAATACTTAATAATAATGATGTAATAAGCTTATGGGGAAATTGCTATAAGTAATTAAAATAAACAATATAGTGGAAGCCACAGGTTGAGAAACAGACAAAGTCTAAGGATATAGTGAAATGAGGCAGCTAAGCCAAAGAAGCATACCTAACATTATTTTTCAAACATCACCTGGGCCATGCTGATGCCGAGAAGATAACACAAAGACAAATCCAATTTTGTGGGTTACAAAATTTAAGTATGATATAACTTCAAACTCACAGAAAAATTGAAAGATTAGTATAAATTCACCAACAGTTTACATATTACACAATTTGCCTTGTATTTTTTCAGTGTGCTACTTTGAAAGTAAATTGGAAACAACATACCCCTTTACCCTTAAATACCTCAGCATAGATTTACTAGGAACAAAGACATTCTCTAATGTTCACAATCCCAAATGCCATAATCTTGAACAATGAAATCCCCAAAGATAAAAATTTCTAAAGCCTAAAATCCCCCAAATGTAATTCTGATACATAATTTATAACACAGTATACACTTAATACAACCAGGAAATTTAGTATTGATATACATACTATTATCTAATCCAGTCCTTTTTTTTTTTTTTTGAGATGGAGTCTCTGTCACCCAAGCTGGAGTGCAGTGGCACGATCTCGCTCACCGCAACCTCTGCCGCCCAGGTTCAATCCTCAGCCTCCTGAGGAGCTGGGACTACAGGCATACACCACCATGCCCATCTAATTTTTGTAAAGACAGGGTTTTGCCATGTTGGCAAGGCTGGTCTCAAACTCCTGGTCTACTCACCTTGGCCTCCCAAAGTGCTGGGATTTACAGGTATAAGCCACTGCGACCAGCCAAATCCAGTCCATTTTCAAATTTAACCAACTGTCCCAATAATTTCCTTTATAGCTATTTTCCCCAGATCAGAGATGTAATCCACAATCATAAACTGCATTTAGTTATCACGTCTCTTTAGTCTCCATTAATAAAGAACAGCCTTCTTTGTCCTTCTTTATTTTTTCCTGTAGGAGGTTTATTGGTTTTGATTGTGATAAATTCACCATTTTAACCATTTAACCACACAATACATGGGCCTTTTAGGTTTGGTTTCTTTCACTTAACATGTTTTTTTATGTTCACCATGCTGTAGCATGAATCAATATTTAATTCCTTTTCATTGCCAAATAATATTCACTGTATGGGGAGCTGATCATAACACTATATCAAAACACTATAATCCAGAATGTTGAAATCCCCAAAGATCAAAATTCCTAAGTCTAAAATCCTAAAAATATAATTTTGGAAAAAATAAAAACTCTTTAAAAGTTATTTGTTTACATTTTTAAAGTGGATTTGAGAAACATAAAAATGTGACAGAACACTTTGAGTATATGAACCATGTTCATAAAGAAATGGCTCAAAGGGGAAATGTGTAAATGCCTATTACTAGTTAGTAATTGTATGTGTCCCAGCTTTATAACAGCAGTCATCTGAAATACCCGGAGAACAAACCTAAGTCTTTTGATGAGATCACTTAAAAAAAACAATGGTTTTTTAAGCCACCGACCTCTGAGCATGGTGGCTCACACCTGTAATCCAAGCACTTTGGAGGTCAAGGCAGGCACAGATCACCTGAGGTCGGGAGTTCAAGACCAGCCTGACCAACATGGTGAAACCCCATCTTAAAAAAAACAAAACAAAACAAAAAAAAAACACACAATGGGTCATCACTGCATACACAGTTGCCCAAAGAGCTGGGATCTTGAGAAATTTTATCTTTCACAAATGCAGAGGTACAAACCAGGTAATTTCTTCATTTATTGAGGAAGTTTCAATGTTTTTACATAAGTGCACAATGCTTACACACAATTAACGCTGCGATAATGCACTTTCCTGAAGTCAAATTTCTGATATCCAAAGCAGCAGCAGAAAAGTCTGTCCCAGCTCTCAGAGACCCATTTGTTCTCTCCAGACCCCTAGATGATTGGATGGTGCCCTTCAATGTTGAGGGCAGATCTTCCCCATCTAAATCCAATCAGATTCGCAGGCTAATCTCCTCTCCCTAACAGAAACACCCAAAGTAATGCTATACCAGGTTTCTAGGTATTCCTTAATCTAGTCAAGGTGACATTTAAAATCACTGACACCTAAAATTAAGTCCACAAGTTTACCCGTCAATGTGGCACCCATACACAGCTCCTTAAGCTATATTTAACTCGCCAATAAAGATGACAATAAGGTAAGGGATTTTGATCTTTTGGGATTGTCTTTTGAGATTATGACCCAAACCCCACTGTATGTATATACCATAGTTTATCTATTCATATGCTCAAAGACATTTAGATTATTTCCACCTTTTGGTTATTCATGAGTATCTGAGTACCTGTTTTCAACTCTTTTGGTAAGTACCAAGGAGAGGAATTGCTAGGTCATATGGCACCTCTATGTTTTTGGTTTTTGTTTTGTTTTGGGACACTGTCTCACTCTGACACCCAGGCTGGAGAGCAGCGGTATGATCTTGGATCACCGCAGCCTCGACCTCTGGGGCTCAGCTCAGGTGATCCTCCCATCTCAGCCTCCCCAGTAGCTGGAACTACAGGTACATGTCACCATACCTGGCTAATTTTTTAAATTTTTTGTAGAGATGGGGTTTTGCCAAGTTGCCCAGGCTGGTCTTGAATTCCTGGAGTTGAGCAATCTTCCTGCCTCACAGTGCTGGGATAAAAAGCATGAGCCACCATGCTTAGCTGGTTGTTTTAAAACAGGAGGAGGTTGCTCTCCCGCACAGGATGGAATATAGTGGTGCAATCATAGATCAGGGCTGCACCCCTGACCTCCTTGGCTCTAAGCAATCCTCCCAGCTCAGCCTCCCAAAGTACTTGGATTACAGCACCATTTACATTCCCATAAGCAATGTAAAAGGATTCCAAATTCTTCACATCCTCACCAACACTTGTTTGTTTTTTAATTATAGCCATCCTCATGGATATGACATGGTATCTCATAGTGATTTTGATTTACATTCCCCTAACACCTAATGATGTTCAGCATCTTTTCATGTGCTTGTTGACCATTTGTATATCTTCTTGGAGAAATGTCTATCCAAGTCCTTTGCTCATTTTTGTATTGGTTATTTCTCATTTTGCTGTTGAGTTCTAATCAATGTTATTTATATATTCTGAATACTAGATCCTTATCATATATGTTATTTGCAAATATTTTCT